ATGTTAGGCTGAGTCAAGTCACTGCCCTCAGATTGGTGGCGGGCTTCTGTAGCACTGGATATGTTTTCTTGGTGTCTTATTCTACCACAGCCCAGAACCAAGTCAGCCTTATATTGGGTAGATTTTATAGAAAGCTCTTTCCCCGGAATGGTGGTGAGAAGGTGGTCGGCTCTGGAGAGCATGTTGAGGCTGGGAGAAGCTGTGACATGTGATAAAAAGATGAGCTCCCAGGGGAAATCTCCATAGGCCTGGCGCTAGCTCTGCGATTAGTCTTGTCCTCATTGGGGATGCACATTGCCTTTTTCCAGCCTCTCGGAAGGAATAATATATGATTTGGATATTAGTCTGCTATTGACATGCTGGCATTTCTGCTTTTAACAATTTTTAAAGAAACAAGTAGGAGTTTACAGAGCTAGGTACTTAATAATCCTGGAAGACAGCTGAGGGTGTTTGCAGGAATGCATATTACACTTTGTCCCAGTCTTTTCTCAATCATTAAATGTACCCCAAGCATTAAGTTTAGGGATTTGTACCCTATCTATACTCACAGAATAATTGCTAATAATATGGATTTTTAATACATGGGATTAGGAATTCCAAGTTAAAATCCACCCTTCTCCTCCCACCCCCCTGTTTCCTCTTGAAGGTTGGAACATTTGTATTGCTCTAGTGAGGTAAACAGGGCTGATCTGCTTCATAGCGGTTCAATGTCAGGGACCATCATTTAACCTGAGTTTTCTCCAAATCTGTGCAATAATAAGTCTTGCCCAAAATGGGTTCCCCTCTGTTTCATCCATTTGAGTTTAGACACAAGCAACACAGGCTGAGCTCATTTTTAAACCACTTTTTGGAGATGTCCTCACTCATCACCTCTAACAATGTGCTCATTCTCTAAATGCGTCTGTAGCACTTCAGGTCAATGACATGAATTTGTTTTCATTCCCAGTGCATAAAGGTGCTGAATAACATTGAGGTAGAATAGAAAACTGGTCAGCTGGATTCAAAACAAAGATGGTCTTATTTACAATATTTGTGGTATTATAATTGGAACGTTTTAATTTGACTTTTTAGAAAAATGAACTTGCCCATGTTTATAGACTTTATATTCTTACTTCTTACACACTAATGATTATTTTCTTGCTTTTTTTCAGACACAAAGACTGAGACAAAAGAAATAAAAATCTTACAAGGAGACTCACCTAAGAAAGAAAATACAGAGTGAACCAGCAGTATGATCCATTGCTCTTTACACTGTGCACTTGGCATAGTTAATTTTGGGGGGTTAGTCTGAAGTGTTTTAAGTTAATGTCTCAAAGAGAGAACGAAAGGTTCTAGGAGGTACCCAGTCATGGGACCAAGGTGTTTGGGGTTTGGGTTGGGGATAGACATGGGATGCTGAAAAGGGATGCCCATGTGTATATATGACTTGGTTTCCTAAAAGGAAGAAACAGACAAGCTTAAGCTGATGATTGCATCAGGCCTGGGACCCTGAACATGAGAGGAGAAGATGAGAAGGTGGGAAAATATCACATGTGCACACACACACACACACACACACACACACAGAATTATGGGCTGAATTGTGTTCTTCCCAAGATCGTAGGTTGAAGACCTAATCCCTAGTACCTCAGAATGTGACTGTATTTGGAGATAAGGCCTTTAGAGAAGTAACAAGGCTAAATGAGGTCATTAGGATGGACTCTAATTCAATACAACTGGTTTCCTTATAGGAAGAGGAGCCTAGCACACAGACACACACAGAGAAAAGATATGTGAAAATACAGGGAGAGGATGGCCACCGACAAGGGAAGGAGAGAGGCCTCAGAAGAAGCAAACTCAGCTAATATCTTGTGCTCGGACCTCTAGCTTCCAGAGCTGTGGGAAAAGAAACTTGCATAGTTTACGTGACTCCATCTGTATGTAGTACTTACTAGGGGAGCCCTTTCAAACTAACACATACACATGTGCACGCGCGCACACACACACACACACACACACACAGACACTTTTTAAAACTTTACACCAAAGAGGATCAGAATATAGTTTTGCAATTCATCCTTGTTTTTCATATGTATTATTATTATAAAAATTTCAAACCCGAAGAAAGGTAGTATAATAACATTTATGTACCTACTGTCAATATTTAACAAATCTTAACAGGTTGCTGATTTTGCTCTAAAACTTTCTTGAGGGCAATTGAAACTCCTTTGTTATTCCACCCAAATCCTATCTCTTTCAGAACTTCGAGAGTACAGTCAGGAAGTTCTGTGTATCTGTCCCATGTATATTTTTGAGAATTTAATGCATGTATATGAATCCATAAAATTCATACTACTGTTTTATGTGTTTTAAATTTTTATATTAATGTCATCCCACTGTATGGATACTTCTGTAACCTTTCCTTTAAGCACCCACTTTTACGCCATAATCACACAGTTGTCTGTAGTTGATTCATTTCATCTGCTGTATAAGGTTCCATTGAGGGATACACCAAGTTTAGTCTTATTTACTTGCTGATGGACTTTTGGAACACCTTCAATTTGTTGTTATTACAAATAGGCTTCAAGGATGCTTTTTGAACATGTCTCCCTGTGCACATGTGTAAGAGTTTATCTGGTGAATGGACTTACAGTGGAATTGCCAAAATATTTTTCAGTCATTAAACTAATTTGGCTCCTGCTAACAGTGGATGTGAAATACTTATTTCTTTACTTCTTGCCAACACTTCATTTTGTCAAACTTTCAGGTCTGATGATTATGAGATATCTAAATTTTAAAATTTGTCATTTTCCTGATTACTCATAAAGTTGCCTATCTTTTCACAGCTATTAGTCACCTTGTTTTCTCCTTTTTAAATGGCCCATTGTCACCTCAGAGCTCCTAGTTATTGGTGTGTAAAAGTCCTGGGTATGTTCTGAATTCTAAAACTGTGTCAGTCATGGATGTGGCAAATATCTTCTTCCTGTTTGTGGCTTGTCTTTTCACTTTTTTATGGAGACTTTGGTCAAGCAGAAGAGTTTCATATAAGCAACTCTTTTTCTTTATGATTTGTGCTTTTGGTGTCTTATTTAGGGGATCCTGCCACAGGCCTGTAAAGATATTCCTCTGTACTGTTACTGAAAAAAATTAACATTTTGATTGTCGTACCTTTAATCTTTGGGGGAAAAATATGAAGTGTGAGGTAAAAACCTAAATTTGTATTTGTATCCATCTGACTAACCAGTTATCTCAACCTCATTGACTTAGTGTTGAAATCTCTCCCTGCTGATCAGTATTAGCACACTGGTCGCACACTGAGTTCCTATATAATTTGTGGCTCTAATGCTGGGCTACGCTGACCTATTGGTTAATTTTTTTTTTATCTATGCATGAATACTGTGATTTCTTAAAAAGTATTACTTTGATAAAATATTATTCTATAGGCAAGTTCCCCCTCATTTTATTTCCAAAATTGGCTTCATAGTTGTTATAATTTTTACCTTTTCGTATGAATTTGAGATCCACCTTGCTGAGTTTCATCAAAGATCACTGCTGCAATTTTGCATTCTTTCTAATAGGTTACAGATTGAGGGAGGAAGGGAAACAAAACACACTATTAGGTCCTGATTTGTTTACACAGAAAAGTAGAACTTTAACAGAAGTTGGTGGCTATCGGCATACAGCATTAAGCCAATGGCTCTGAGAAAGGGTGCAATTGTGGGTGCTACAGAATCCGAAAAACACAGAATTCTTGTTGCACTTCCATTCCTTTGTACTTGAGGATGTTCTCACATGCCATGGAAACAGTGCTCTATCCAGGGCAGTATTTGCTGACAGTCCGTTGGTCGGTTTGGCATTTGTAAGCAAGTTCACGGCAAGCATTCTTGATAATTTTATTTGCCATCTGTGTTCTAGCATTAATAGGAGTCATTTTTTTCCTGGCACATTTTATTGAAATTGCATGTAATTTATGCATAAATTTAGAGAAAGTAAAAATTTGAGAATATTGAAATCTCACAAATAAACATAATATTTCTCTCCATTGACTTAGGTATGGTTCATGTCCATTAATAAAATGTATTTCTTTTATTCATGATCTAAAGGTGTTCTTGCTGTTGGGAATTATATTTTGTAAATTGTATTTTTGAATTGGTTGTTGCTGGTATATAGAAATATTACTAAATTTTTATGTTGAACTTCTCTCTAACAATCTTATTATTTCTAATGCTTTGTAGATTCTCTTGGATTTTTTAATGTAGAAAATAATATTCTTGCAACAGAGTTTGCCTGATTATTTCCAATACTTACAATTTTTGTTTCTTTTTCTTTCTTATTATGTTGGTTAGGAACTCCAATAAAATGTTGAATAGAAGCAGTGATGGCAGAAATCCTAAATTCGCCTCTAACTTTAAAGTTTTTTTTAAAGTTGCACCACTAAGTAAGCTGCTTTCAGTAACTTTTTGAGAATAATATTATTTAATCCGATTACAAAAGGATTCCTTTGTTTTGCATTTTCCCCTTTTTATGTGGACCCTGAGAAAGAAGATACCTCACAGGAGGACTCCTGGTGGCCTAACTGAGCTCAAATTAAAAAACAACAAACAAACCAAAAAACACTGAGTCCAGCAGCCTTTTCTACAAGGGCCCTCATATGCACACCATACTGCAGGGAGAAGCCTGCAATGAATTACCTGCCTTCTGCACTGAACTACCTGCCTGCACTGTGCTCCTGCCATGCCTGATCCAGGAGTTCAGGAGTTTCTGAAATATTATTCAAATCAATAAGACTGAGGCTTTCCCCATCCAATTGGAGCTGCACAGATATATCCTCATCAGCTTCTTCACCAACCAATCAGAGAGGCTCCCTGACCAATCAGAACAATGCCTTTTGGACCAATCAAACGATTGAAGTCCATATTAACATGAGGAAAGACCAATCAGGGACCAGAGGAGGGGACTTGTGTTTATATAAATCACCTCCCCTGTGGCTCTGGGAGCTCACTTTCCTTTTCCACTGAAGACTGTTTCCCTGGCTGGAGCTGAAACCCCAGAATGTCTGGCCAGAGCAGAAGGAAGCAGACCAGAGCAGGTCAGAGCACAGCTGCCTAGCTGGAGAAGGGCCTGGCCCCAGGGCCACCTGGCCCCAGGGCTGCCTCACGGTATGCTGTTTTCACAGCTGTGCTGTATCACAATTGAGCTGTTATGCGCTGAATAAATTTTCCTTCTTCCTTGCACCCAAATTTGGGGATTCCTGTTGACCTTGGATTGGTGCAAGCAACCATCCAACCATCCGACCATCCGTTAACATTTAAAATCCACAATGAGCATTAAATTTTATTATATTCTTTTCTGTGTTTAGGAACATGACCATATGCCCTTCTCTTTACTCTTTTAATCTGATGACCTACATAAAGAGCTTTCCTGATATAAAATTATCTTTGCTTGGTTCTACCATACATAATATACATAATGTAATATACATAATGTAATAGACATAATGAATTTCTTAACATATGTATTGATTTAATTTAACAAATATGACAGTATATATTATAAATTTAATATCTAATTGCAATATTTAGATACGTAATATATTCAATGGTATTATGGTAGAATACATAGAGTTTTCTTAATAATGAACTAGGCTTGCATAGTTTTCAAAACCAAATAAGCAGGTAAACCATATACATCATATATATATATATATATAGAGAGAGAGAGAGAGAGAGAGAGAGAGAGAGAGAGAGAGAGATTTTCTATAGAAATATATATTTATAGTACTGTATTTAATAAAAATATTTTATATTTCATATATATAATAGTACAATACTGAAATACAATTAGTAATATTATATAAAGGATTTGAGTTATAAAGGATTCTTACAGCTATATTTATAGATAAAACTGGTTTATAATTTTATTTTCTTGACCTATTTTTATCTTATTATATTACCCAAGTTACACTCAACTTAGAGAGTATGCAAGACGTTTTCCCCTTTTTTATTGTCTTAAAAAATTTTATAAGACATAGTTTTTTTTTGAAAGCTAGCAAATTTTCTATAAAACTATTTTGTTGTTATTTGGAGAAGAAATTGTTTTAAAAATCAGTTCTATTTTTTACATTTATTGATTTATTTAGGTTTTCAAGTTTTCTTAAAACAATTAGCAATCTCTAATGTTCTAGTCTATTGTCCATTTCATTGTTTATCAAACTTTTAAATGGTTTTGTAAAATTTCTAGTGAATCTAGACTTCAGGTTCTTTTTTAAACTAAAATTGTTTATTTAGTTTTATGTTCCTGACCTATACAAACTAAGTTTTATTTATTTTATTTTTAATCTGTTTGTTTAACAAAAAAGCTTTTCAGTTTATTGTGCTCACTGTCACTTCTTTGTTCTTTACTTTAGTGTTTGTTTCTAACTTTATTTTATTCTTCATTTCACTTTGACATACACTCATAATTTATTGTTTTGTTATTTCTTACATAGTTGCAGGATTACCTCTTATCTTCAGTATCTTTTTATTTTAAAATATCTTTATATATGGACATGCGTCTACCTCTGAGTAGTATTTTAGCTGCATCTCACAAGCTTTTACATGCAACATTTCTACCAGGATTCTAAATGCGTCATAATTTTCTTTGTGGTTTCTTCTCTAATTCAAATGTTAAAGATAGGAATGCTCTTCTCCAAACTCATTTATTATCTTTCATTTTTTTATATCTAACTTTATTTTACTGTCAGCAGAAAAGGTCAATATAAATAGTTTTAGAGGTATTAAGCTTTTCTTTTTGTGCTTTAGAGTTCTATTAGATCAAATAGAGTTTGAGAGGAGGTGGGTAGGTGAATATATTAATGAACAGTTAAAGCATGACCATTTGATTTAAAATAAAGATATAAAATAATTTAGAATTGTATTCCCATTCTTAAAATGTTAGTTATTGTGGCTATTTGTTACTGTAGCAATCGGAAGCTAATACTGGCACTTTGGTGCCTGAGGCAGAATTGCAAATTTTATTTCTTGTTACCCAGGCACAAGATGCCCTTAGAAAGCTGAGTTATTGGAATAGTTAGATTAAGAGCACATGTTGCTTCTAACTACAGGACGAACCTGAAGTATGCGGAGGCCTCCTGAACTCTAAGTTCCGTTCCCCCATGGGTGGTGCCTTGTAACATTGCATAAAGACTGAGCATCACTTTGGTACTATGCCTGGCTGCAAATAGCAAGCCTCCCATTTGTATTAGCCAAGCAACTATAGGGAAGTTACCTATTTTTAGTTATCTATAAAAAGGATAACATTATCTATCTTTCAGATTTGTTTAAGGATTAAATGAAATTATTTAAAATTTTGAAAACTTTCAGTCCGTACCTGCTATGCAGAAACTGGTTTTTAAAGTATAGCCTTTAGACAGTTAAGAATTAAATAATTAATGACAAAATGATGACATTTAGATTCATGATGAAGTCCATTTGGAAGTGTTTATTGAGCATTTATGCTGTGCTCAAGACGGTCTTAGATGCTGCAGTGGGTTTAAAAATATTTGCCCTTGAGGTGGTTACCAGGGAGACTTAGACCTTCTGTGGATAAGTACTGAGCAGCCCCTGTCAGCCCAGTTAGGCGAGATGTCTCGCTGATTCCAGGAGATACAGTGTCCTGGTGGAGGGTAGTTAGCTTTGAAATGTCAGTTTCCTTTCATGGTAAGAAATAAGTTCCTGCAGCATATGAAATATATTTAGTAGTGCTATTGAGGAATAAATCTTAAAAGATGCACACTTGAAAGGTTAATATTGACATCCTGTAAGACATAACTTTCCGCGCAGCACCGCTATTGATCAGACTGTGACGGCTGGAGAGCTCCAGTGCAGGTCATTTACAGGAGGGGCCCGCGAGAGCTCGGCTAACTCAGGAGCCTAGGGAAGGCGAGCCTTACTCATTCCTTTCTGGCTGTGAACATCAATGAGATTACAATTCAAAGAAGATTCTCCAATCAAAAGTGATGTTTATTTCATTAATACGTTGTGGGGGGAATCAGTGAATAGCCAAAATGTATCCTGGTTAGAGGATGAGAAGGGAACTTCTCATTTCTTTTCTCTGCTGCATATGAAAAGAACATCGAAGAAACCAGTGACTAGATCTAGCTTTTTTTTTTTTTTTTTGCATAATTACATAGAGAAAAAGAAAACAATGTTATTGTGCACATCATTTAGGCATATGCCACAATACACAATGGAGAAATTCGATTACTAGGCTTGTTTTTGTTTTTTTTTAATTTTTCATTTCAAAATAATTTCAAACTTATAAATATGTTGTAAAAACGACATACAGGACTTCACCCAGATTGTGTAAATATGAAGAATATAATTATCATAATCAAGAAATTGATATTGATACAATTTTATTACCTAAACTATCAATTGGCCCACTAATGTCCATTTTTTGGTCCCGGGTCCAATCCGGCATTGCACATTACATTTAATTATTATGTCTCCTTCGTAACCATTAATCAAAAACAGTTTCTCAGCCTGTCTTTCATGACTTGGCACATTTAAAGAATCCTGGCCAGCTATTTTCTAGAGTGTTCCTCAATATAGGTTTGTTTGATAGTTCTTTAGAATTAAATTGAAGTTATGCATTTTGGGCAAGAATATAACAAAAATGATGTTGAGAACTCATTGGTGCATAATTCAGAAGTTTTACCCTTCTCTACCAATTCTTTTTTTAAAAATATGTTTTATTGATATTTTACCAAGAAGAAGGGAGAGGGATAGAGAGTTAGAAACATCGATGAGAGAGAAACATCGATCAGCTGCCTCCTGCAAGCCCCCAGCTGGGGATATGCCGCAACCAAGGTACATGCCCTTGACCGGAATCGAACCTGGGACCCTTCAGTTCGCAGGCCGATGCTCTATGCCCTGAGGCCAATCGTCCCACAGTTGGTAATGTTAACTTTGATCACTCTGGAAAAGGGGTGTGCCCGTCATCTCTACTTGTTCTTTTCTGAGAAGTCACTCTGAGACTACGTAATAATCCCACTTCTCATCCCGCATTTGTTCCCACCACCTGTTTTAATGTTCACAGATGAAACGTACCTGAAATGAACATTACTGTGGCGACTTTCTATTTTCACCATTCCTTCTGTGCTTATTACTGAAACTGGAAGAAATAGCAACCCTTTCTCCCCCAGTTTTAAAACAATTTATTCAATTCGTTATTAATAATAAAATGGGCTAGTGAATTCTTATTTTATTCTTTATATTGTAGACAAGTTTCTGACCTATCCTTGCTGAACTCCCTGTGTTTAACAGGTATATTTTGCTATTTTTGTCTCATTTCTTATACAGAAGATAACATAATACAGAAATTCTATGGATCTAAATTTTTGATATAAATAAAGGCTTGGGAATTTTTTTGTACGATGTGAGATGCAGATCTAATTTGATCTTTCTTTAAATTGGTTACCCAGTTGTCCCAGCACCATTTATTAAAAGTCCACCTTATCCCTGTTTATTTGAGATACATCTGTTACAATATACTAAGTGTCCATATGTTTTGGGGTCTGTTTTTTTATTTTTTATTCTAGTCCACTAGGCTGTTTGCCTATTCATGAGCCTGTCTGGCGCTCTTTTAATCATAGAGCCTTTTGGATCTATTTTAAAATGTGGTACTGCTAATTGTCCCCTCCCATCCCCGCTACATGCTTTTCTTTCTTCTTGACTATTCTATCATGTCTTCTTTTCCACAATAACTTTAGGATAAACTCAGCTAGTTTCATATAAAACACATGTAATGTTAATTGAGATGGTGCTAAAGTTATAAATTAGTTTAGGGAGTGCTGACATTTGTATAAAATTTAGTCAATCCAGTGACAGGGAATATCTTTCCATTTGTTCAAGTTTACGTTGTCTCTTTCAAAAGTTGGAGGCATTTTCTTATAGAGGTTTTGCCATTTTCCTGTTGAGCTTACTCTTAACAATTTTATCTTCTTTGCTGCTATTGTAAATGGTGCTGTCTACCATTGTCTTCTAACTCGTTATTGCTTGTGTGTATAAGGGCCATTGTTTTCAGTATATTAAGTTTATATCCTGTAACCTTCCTGAATTGTTATTTTTTACGTTAGCTCTGTTATTGATTCCCAGGTATATTATCATATCATTTGCAAGTTGAGGAAATTTTACCTTTTCTTTAGTAACCTTTCTGAGGTAGGCGGTTAGGATCTCAATATATATATATATTTTGGCTAATATAATTCAACCCGTAACAGCATATCAAATTTAATATATATTCATAATATACTTTAAGAAAAACTTTTTAGGTCTTTTATATTCTTATTCACTATTTTTTGCCCAATTGATATTTCTTGTACTCAAAATGTCCTTTATTAGAGTGTATTCTTGCATTTCCTATAGATTTTGCTTCTTAAAGATGATTGCTGTGTTATTAAATGCATAGATCTCTGTGAAATATCTTTATTGTGAATTATGGCACTTAGTCTTTCTGCACTTCATTTAATGTGTTTTTAACTTAAATTCTACTTTGTCTGCTATATGATGTTTTTATTTTACCAACTTTCATTTTTATTACAATGGTATACCTTTGTCCAACCATGCCTTTTGTAATGCATTTCTAATCACTTCATTTAGGTATGTCTCTTGTATATGACACATATAATTAGGTCTCATGGGACATTTTTTTTTCTTTTTTCTTTATTTAATCCTCAGTCAAGGATATTTTCCATTGATTTTTAGAAAGAGTGGAAGAGAGAGGGAAAGTCAGAAATATTGATGTGAGAGAAACACATCGATTGGTTGCCTCCTGCTTGAGCCCTGGCCAGGGCCAGGTCCAGGAAGGAGCCTGCAACTGAGGTACGTGCCCTTGACCAGAATCAAACCTGGGACCCTTCAATCCACAGGCCAATGCTCTATACACTGAGCCATACTGGCTAAGGCACATGAGACTATACATATATGTATATACTGTATAGTACTTATGTATATGTGTATTTATTTATTTAATAAAGTGTTCAATGTCAGTTTTTGTTTGTTTGTTTGTTTGTTTGTTTGTTTTTTTAAGTTTTCCCAATAACTCTTGGATGAATGAAGCCTTTCCTTTAGAAAATTCCACAGAAGAGCTATGGGTATAGAATTCTAAGTATTACTATGTTTAAAACATTTTATATAACTTTTGATACTTCATTGATAGCTTGAAAATTCTTGGTACAGACTATTTTATTGAGTTTGTTGTTTTTTTTAACTACTGCTCTATTTTTACCTTGCTTTTTATGTTGTGCTTGAGAAGTGTGATGCCAGTCTACTTATTTTACTATTGTAAGTTGTTTTACCTTTTTGCCAGGTTGCTTTCAGATTTTTTTTTTCATATATTTGAAGTCTAATAGTCTTACTGGGATATATTTTGGAGTTCATGTATTCAGATTCATTTTCTAGGTAACAAATGTAAACTTTCCATATGTAAATACAGATTTTTTTTTTTCTGAAAGTTTTCTTGGAGATATTTCTGATTTTATTTGTGTTACTTTGTTTTGTTTTGATCTACTCAGACCCCAGTTATACATACATTATTCCTTCTTTTCCTCTTTCATTTTTACCACTTTCTTCTGGCTCCTTATTTATTTCTTTATGTCACTTTTATTTTCTTGGCTAGTTTCCTGAATCTTCTCAATGCCCTATTAAATGTTTACTTGCTACCATTCCTTTGGGCACCTTGTAATTTAGTGTTCATTTCTGAGCTGATTTGTTTTCTTTCTCTTCCATTTACTTTTTTAATTTAATCAATTTATTTCTCCTGTTTTTTGTTTATTTCTGTTCTTAGTTATTCAATTTCTGAATCAGTGTGCCTCTTTTTACATTCCCAAGTGCTTAATTAATGTTATTTAAGAAATATGGAGCATTGGTCAGAATTTTTCTGTTGTATAGGTTTTTTTCCTTTGGGGGGCAGTTTGGCCATATAAAGTGATGCTTTCTTGTTTTATGTATTTTTTGTACTAACTTCTCATAGACTTGGTGTCTTTATTCTTCAGTTTATTTTCTAGTTTGGGGGTAGATTAGAACATTCTTAGTTCAATGTCATTCTCTTAGTGAAGTAAAGCTTGTTTTTTTTCAGTGGGTGTCTATTTATGAAGGAGGTTTGTGTGTGCCTGATTATATTGAGGGTTTTTTGTTTGTTTCTTTGCTTGTTTTGTTTTGTTTTGTTTGTCTTTCAGGAGTACACATTTTTACCACCCAATTGCCATAAAGAACTGCTTTTTTGTCCTCCAGCAGCTGTGCCTTTCAAAATCTGGTTCTTTTAAGTACACATTTTAAACTCTTCCTCTCTGGTAAGTGCTCTCATTTAGCAGGAAATGTTTTTCCATTTTCACACTTAGGGTGGATTTCGCTTTGTGGTGGTTCTGTTAGAGCAATTTCAGGCTGGCTGCTAGCTCCTCTCTTCAATGTTTTCAGATGATCCCTGCTCACCTCAAAGGCCTGTGGTGCGCGTGTGAAGCTCTGCTCACTGGTATTCAATGTTTTCCCTTTTAAAAAATTATAATTGTTTGGAAGTTTGAGCATTCTCTCTGTTCTATATATGCTGAGGATGTGGTTTGCAGGGGCAAGAAAGAGTGTGAGAGAGAGAGAGACGGAGAGAGAGAAGAGAAAAAAAGAAGGATGTGGCAGAGAAGGGAGGAGGAAGAAAAGATACAGTAATAGATATATGGGAAACAGCGGCCTAGGCAGCAGTCATTGTGTTTGGCTCCCTGGAAACCATAGGGTTGCTTTTAATAATTCAATTGCCCTTGTTTTTCTATAGAAAAAAGTTGTTTTATCATAAAAAGGGTTTCCTCAGCTGATTGCATTTGGGCTGTTTCCTAGTGATTCTTTTCATCATGTGTCTAGAAAAAACATAAAAATGTATAATCTTGATTATGTGGAGATATTGTCTTAAATTTGAATGCCAAGTAGCCTCTTTTTTTTTAAAGCTCAAATTTCCTTGCCTCTAACTTTTTTTAAAATATATTTTTTATTGATTTCAGAGAGGAAAGGAAAGGGAGAGAGAGATAGAAACATCAATGAGAGAGAATCATTGGTTGGCTGCCTCCTGCACAACCCTTACTGGGGATCGATCCCGCAACCTTAATATGTGCCCTTGACCAGAATCGAACACGGGACCCTTCAGTCCACAGGCCGATGCTCTGTCCACTGAGCCAAACGACTGGGACCCAAGTAGCCTCTTAAAATTACTTCAAATTGTGTGTGTTTATAAATTTATTTATGTGGGTATATGCAGATTATATGTGCACATGTATCATACATGTGTGATACGTCTGCTTGTATAACACTTTACTTCTCCCTTCCTGAGCTATCTAGTCCCAGTGTCACACTGTTTAACTTGTAATATTAGTCTTTTACTTTAAGAATCTTGAGTTCTAATATTCCCTTTTTAAGAGACCTTCCTATATTTCCAGGTCTTCCTTTAATAGTCCTCTGCTCTCAGCTGATCACATCAAAATTTCGGTCTCCAAATCGTGAATACCTCTCTCATAATCCTTTTTCTCTCTGTCTTTACAGTTTTTCCTTATGCAACTAAGAGTCTGTCACATACTGCGATAAGCCAGTGCTTGCAATCCCCAAAGCTTCCATGGTCTGGCAGGAAACATAAATAAGAGAAACGGGCAAGACAGAACACACCAAACAGGAGTGGGGAAGCGAGGAACCAAACTGTCTCCATCCACAGGCATTCAAATGGTTAGTTTTAATACAATGTGTGAACCAAACAAAATCTGTCTCCAGGCCAAATTTGCCCATTCACCTTTCACCTTATTTCCATTTATTGCTCTCTTCTAAAACCTCAACTTTTTTTTACATTTCAAATTTTTTTTTCTTTATTGATTAAGGTATTACAAATGTGTCCTTATCCCCCCATTGTCCCCCCATTCCCCCAGTCCTGCCCTCACCCTCACCCCCTGTTGCCCGCATCCATTGCTTATGCTTATATGCATGCATACAGGTGCTTTGGTTGATCTCTCCCCCTTACCCCCACCGTCCCCTAAAACCTCAACTTTTGTTGAACTCACTGTCTGCCTCCCCCATGTCTGCATCCAAGTTACTTTCCCTTTCAAGTCACTGTCACATCCAGAGGTCTGTGCTCTGCACTGAGAGGCCATCTTTCTGAACTTCCTAGAAAGCTCTCCATTCCTCTCTGAGAGATGACAATTCCATAGCTCCTCTCTACATACTTTCTTATTAGAACACTTTCAGCTTTGATAATAGGGTTCCCAACTAAAGTAGCTTATATTTATAAGAAATCTACTCCCTAACCTTGGCTACTTGTTACCCTAGTCTATATATATATATGTTTTTATTGATTTTCAGAATAAAGGAGAGGGAGAGAGAGATAAAAACATCAATGATGAGAATCATGACCTTCTGGTTCCTGGATCAAAGCTCAACCACTGAGCCATACCAGCCAGGCCCTAGTTCTTTCTTTCATAGCAGTCACTACAACCTACAATCACTTGGTTTTTGCTTACTTTTTCTTTTTCCCCACTTCACTCTATCAGAACATAAACTCTCTGAAGGCAAGGGCCACATCTCTTTTATTCACTAAGTAGTTCCAGGGTCTAGAACAGTGATGGCAAACCTATGATACGCATGTCAGAGGTAACACGTGAACTCATTTTTTTGGTTGATTTTTCTTTGTTAAATGGCATTTAAATATATAAAATAAACATCAAAAATATAAATCTTTGTTTTACTATGGTTGCAAATATCAAAAAATTTCTAAATGTGACACAGCACCAGAGTTAAGTTAGGGTTTTTCAAAATGCTGACACGCCGAGCTCAAAAGGTTCGCCATCACTGCTCTAGAACAATATCTGCCATATATTAGGAACTCAATAAACATGTGTTACATTAAGGAAATAATCAAGACAAGGGTTCAACATCTTTGAAATACCAAGGAATCCAGGATAAAGGGTCGTTGCAGGTAAAACAACCCTTTAGAGCAGGGCTTGGCCAACTTTTTTTTCTGTAAAGAACCAGAAAATAAATATTTCAGCTTTGCAGCCCATCCAGTCCCTGTCATGACTATTCGGTTCTGCCGGTACAGCATGAAAGCAGCCGTGGGTAATGCACAAGGAATGGCAGTGCCCCCATTTGGACCACAGTCCTAGTTTGCAGACTCCTGGTCTAGCTGAGCAGTCTTTGTCCAAACCAAAATCCTGGGCTCACACTGCTGCCTGTGGGTGCTCAATAAATTACATATGACATTTGGCCTCTGCCGGGAGGGCATACATCAGAGTGGGTGAGAGTCTGGACTCTAGAGCCAGATTGCTCTGTTCAAGTCCAGGCCTCCCATGTTCATGCTATGTGACCATGGACAAGACACTGCCCTCTCTGCACTCCTGTTACCTCATCCTTTAACGGGAATAATTACAGTGTCTATGTTTTTAAGGGTAAATGAGGATTAAATGAGGCAATCTTTGTGAAACGGGTAACACAAAGCTTGGCACATAACTGCTAGAGGTATGTGTTGAATAAACGTGAAACAGGTCCTTTCAAAGCATTTTGCATACATTGCCTCATCTCCTTCTCACAGAAGCCCAGTAAGGTAGGCATTAGATGGTAGAATAAGCGAGGTATTCTATTTTAAAGACTTGGAAACCTGGGATTCAGAGATCCGGGGTCACACAGTTAACAGGTGATAGTATTAGGGACACATAAATAAAATGTTTTAAATTTTAAGATTAGAAACTTCTGACAATAAAGCATAATGCATTTTTCTACCCAGTGTCTATTTAAAACAAAGGTAACTGCTATGGACTGGCTTCTGCACTGATCTTAGAAGATGGCTACACATATTCCGGTACACTTCTCCTTAAGAGGGAGTTCCTTCTCCTGAGTCTAGTTGCATTTGAGACTGCGTCAGCCAACAGAGTATGGTGAAAGTGACCATAATTGGCCTTTTTCCCATGGGAGCCCCTGGGTTGAGGGGAGCATGGCCCTCTCCGGCCCTGCCATGCATGGTGTATGCTCATCCACTGATACCGGTGTGCCCCAAAAGGGAGCATCAGCTGACAAAAATGTCACTTTACCTGCTGTGTTCAAGGCTCCCAGTGTTGGGGAGGCAACTGATCTATGTTTCTCTCTCACATCAATGTTTCTCTCTCTCTCTCTCTCTCTCTCTCTCTCTCTCTCTCATCTCTCTATCTTCCTCCCTCTCTCTAAAGGCAATAAAAACATATCCTCAGGTGAGGGTTAAATAATTTTGTAAAAAGAAATGTAAGGCCTGGAGTGATATCCAAAGGTCCATGCCTCTCACCGAATGGAGCTGGCAAGGCAAAATGAGAACCCGTTGTCATAGCCAGCACAGGGGACCTTGCATCATCAATAATGAGGACAAAGGTATCATCAAGGCCTTCAGAGGCATCCCTGCAATTACTCTGCTTAATGTAAGTGAACTGAACATTTTGAAACTTGCTCCTGGGGGGGGCGGGGGGGACATGTGGGCTGTGTCTGCATTTGGACTCAGTGTTTCCCGCAAGTTAGATGATCTGTTTGACAGCCGGAGTAAAGCTGCCTCCCTCAAGAATAACTACAACCTTCCCATGCACACGAAGCTCAATACAGAACCTTGAAAAGCCCAGCGATCTGAAGAGCCCTCTGAGCACCATGCAAGAAGATTCATTGCAGGTCCCTGAAGAAGGATCCACTGAAAAACCTGATAATCATGTTGAAGCTAAACCCCTCTGTAAACACCATGAGCTGGAACACCATTCTTTCCCAGGCCAAGAAACAGAAGCTCTAGGTGAACAAAGCAGCAGAATGCTGGAAGTCAAATCAGATAAGGAGGCGGTTCCAGACAAGAAGCCTGTGGGAGAGAAGAAAGGGAAGAAGGCTGTTGGTAGAAAAAGCCTTTGGTGGAAAAAAAGGCTGCAGCTACCAAGAAACCAGCAGCCAAGAAGCCCACAAAAAATCCACCCTCCCCCAGAAGAAAAGAAGCCTATGGTATAAAGTTAAATTTCTTTATTCTGTAAAGGCCAAATCAGATTGGACAGCTAATTTTGAATGAAAACCTGATCAAAGGCAGTGAGAAACATGGGGCCGGCGGGGGGGTGGGGGGTGGGGCGGCTTGATGCTATGTGATTCACAAAGGGACACTCAGCTCATGCCTTGCTCACTGGAACACAGTCTCTTAGAAGAACTCTGAGCAGCAGTTGAAAAGGCCAGTTATCCTGAGGCTGCCATGTTGTGAGGAAGCCCAAGCCACTTGGAGAGGCCAGGCATAGGTGCTTACGTCAATAGTCCTGTCTGAGTCCAGCTCTAAAGTCATCTCAGCCCACGAGCCAGACATGTAATGAGTCTTCAATCAGTTCCAGCCCTCAGGCTTGGGGTAACCCACACACAGCCCCTTAATTCTTCCCAGCTGAGGGCCCAGACATCACGGAGCAAGCAAACTATCCCCTCTGGGATTTGTCTAAGTTCTTAAACCACAGAATCCATGAGCATAATAAATTAGTTGGTGTTGTGTGGGACTACGTTTTGAGGTGCTTTGTTAGTACAGAGATGTATAGAACAGCTTCTTTCCATATTTCCCTAAACTATAATTATAGTTCAGTGATCAATGCTGGTCTTCCTTTATTTCTCAGTGGCTTTGCTTTACTTCTACCCCAAACGTCTTTTGAGTCATCCAGCATTAGAAGGAGCAAGGATTTGAGCCCAAAAGTCTTCCTTTAGAGCAGGGCTGCTGAACCCCACACTCTACTAGGTGGTCATAAGCAAATGATTTCATTTATTTAGGTCAGTTTCGTCTTCTAAAATGGTGAGCAGAGCCTGCTTTGCAGGATTGCCATGAGAATCAAATAATGTCATGGGTGTAAAACTGCTTTAAAGGAATTTAGACTCCAGACCTTTGGCAAGAGACCTGGAGCACAGGGCAGTTTTAATCTTCCTGGAGTTCCAGTCTTTCAAAAAAGCATTTGCCCAAACAAATCAATAGTGTTGATGCCACAGAGATGAGAAGAGCAAGCACACTTCTCACCATACACTGGGGGCTCCTAAAACATCTCTGTGTGTGCAAGTGTCTGTAATTTAATAGTGGGCCAGCCTGGTGATTTTGAAACAACTCAAGTGTCTGACATGAGAGCGAGTGACAGTTCTTGGAACGAGGGCCATGAAATGCAAGTACATTGCAAATCACTCAGTCGTGCTGTCAGGGGAATCATAGGCACCATATATATTTTCTTAAAAGTAGTTTCCCAGCAAACCTTTCATAAAATTCATGACTGTGACTGACCTCTGCTACATGCTTGCCTCCACAACTTCCCCTGCCCCCCTCAGTTATAACCCAGGCTTATAATGCACTTGTGGCAAACACTGCTGATTGGATGTTGAGTGGCCATTCCCAAGCCCCTTCTCCCTTTCTGACACCTTCTATAGAGTCCAGAAAACCAATACTTGTCATCCCAGCTTCCATGCAGGTAGGGGTAGCCCGTGTCCATGAGGAATAGGCAGAAGTCTTCTGGGAGAGGTCGTTTATAAAATACTTCTCTTTCCTGACATAAGGACACAAATTTTTGGCACAGCCTTTCCCACTTCCTCTTTCTATTGCCTTGAGTGCATAACGGATGGAGGTGCAGCAGCCATCTTGTGACAGTGAGGGACACGTCAAAGTGGAGCATCTTTGAATGAACCACCTCTCTCTAAGAAATAGATTCGAGTTTGTGTAAGCCACTGCAGTT